GCTGCTCTGGGCACCTGTGCCAGGGCCTGCCCACCTCACAGGGAACAATTCCCAATTTCCATCCCTGCCCTCTGGCAGTAGGAGCCATTCCCTGTGTCCTGTCCCTCCATCCCCTGTCCCCAGCCCCTCTCCAGCTCTCCTGGAGCCCCTCAGGCCCTGCAGGGGCTCTGAGCTCTGTCAGTGCCTTGTCCCAGGTCCTGCCTGTGTCAGGCACGCTCTGCCCTCAGGGAAGCTGTGCTGGCTCTCCCCAGTCACCTCCTTGTCTTCCTCGTGCCTGAACATATTTTCCAGGAATCTGCTCCGTTCTCCTGCTGGGCACTGAGGTGAGCCTGCCTGGCCTGGGGTTCCCTGGGTCCTCCTTTTTTCCCTTTCTAAGGGGATATCAGTCATGGAGAACGTGAATTAGCACAATGCAACCATCAGCTCTCCGTGCCTCCCAGAAGTGGTCCTTAGGGAAAAGGGCCTTTTTTATGTGATTATTTTACTTTTATCTGCCTCTGCAAGTTCTTGCATTACGCAAGAGCTGGTCATGACTTCTCAATTAGGGTTGAATTTTGAAATAGGATTGGGAGCCTCACTATAAGCCTGTTTCTCTCCACATGTAGGGGCCTTTCAATGGGAAACATCATGTAGGACCAGCATTATGCAACTTGATTTTTTTTTTTTTCTGTAGTTTTCACTGATTTCTTTTAATTAATTCTTGACAGAGTGCTCAGAATGGCTCTCAGGGCTTGGTGGTTTGGCTGCTAGGTGTTTTTCATGGCCTGGGGGAAGCCCTCCCAGGGCTGTTTGATTTTACAGCCCCTGATGTTTTCCATTGCAGAGGTGTTTAAAGAGACCCTGGATTTATTATTGTAGGGTTCCCTGGAAATCCCCACAGGGATGGCAGCCACCCATCCTGAGCTGGGAGTGTTGGAGAGATGGGATGAAACTGGGAGAAAAAAGAGTTCTGAAGTTTCTTTTCTAAAAATAGAGATACTTGCACTGAGAGGGAGGGGCAGCTGTGCCTTTGTGTCCCTTTGGAGAGATGGGGAGCAGACAGACCTTTTTCCTGGGATGTGATCTCAGCTGTTCCCCACAGGAAGGAGGGAAATCCAGGCATTTTGGGGAGCTCCATGTGTGTGAAACAGAGGGCTCACCCTGTGAGAGGTGCTGAGCTGAAACAGGAGCATTTGCAGCTCTGTCCACATCACTCAATCTGACATTTCAGAAGTTTTTGGGCAAGGCCAGCATCTCCCCAGTGTGGCTGTGCCACTTGCAGCTCCATCAGTGTCAGTGGGGCACAGAGGATCCATCCTGGGCTGGTGGCACTGGGACAGAGGCACAATTAACCCTTGAAGTGCCACCTTGCCTTGGCCCAGCACAGCCCAGCTCCTCCCCAGGGCTGAGAGCTGGAGGTGTAAGCCCAACCCCTGGTGTATCTCACCAGAGTGCTGCTCATGGCTGAGAACAAGAGTCTGGGATGCATTTCAGCCCATATTTCAACAGCTCCATCCGTTTTTCCATGATTATACCTGGATTTGGGTGGGAAAACTTTCTCCAGATGCAGGGACGGGCCCAAGGTCAGTGCCAGAGCTGCCACTGCACCTCAAGTTTTATTAGTCATGGTCCTGACTTAAATGATGCCCTGGAAGAAGGATCCTTGCTGGAATTTCAGAGAACTGCAGAGGTTTAGATGGAAACAGGAGTGTTTGAACAACACAGTGGGATTCATCCTTCCAGCAGCAGAGGCTGCAGAGTGCAGGGTAGAAACACCTTCAGCTTCCTCTGGAGCTGATGAAATTGTTGAATTTGTTTTTAATCTAAGGCAGAAGTCATCTAGACTAGAACTGTATTTTTTTTTTCCCTTTGGGAACATGGATCCTAGCAGGAAGGAGCAAAAATTTCATTAAGCAGGAAAGCAGGACTCCTGAGATTTGCAGATGAGGAAGGAGGGAGTGTTCCTGCTGTGCACAAAAGGCAGCCTGAATTTGAGGAATCATGAAAGTTTGTAAGTTTGCTGTCTGCCTTGGAGTCTCAAAGCCTTTAGGATTCATGACTCAGGCTTATGCACACATGCCTTGTAATGATTAGATCTTTTTGGCTTTTTTTGAAGTGAAAATCAAATTTTTTCTCATGATCACCTGACTCCAGGAGGTAGAGCTTTAAAAATATGCTCTGCTGCCAAACTGGCAGGAGTGTCATCAAACTTGGTAACAAGCTGTTCCAGCTGGGTTTGGGAAGGCTGCAAAATCCTTTTCTGTAGGAGAAGAAAAACAGGGGGGGAAGTTATTTTAAACTTCAACCAACAGGGTTTAATCCCCACGCTGGTCCTGCTGGATTTTCCACAATTGTTTGTTGGAATGCCAATGAAGCTGTCACCAGGACATATCCCTTGGAGGACTCCTGTGCCATTCTGTCCTTCCTAGGACACATTTTGCCTTCTCAGGGTGCCCCTAGGTTTTCCCTGCACTGAAATTGGTGGCACTGATGTCAGTAGCTGGCCCCTGAGGTCACTTACCCCAACAAGGACATTGCTCAGCAGCAGCACTTCTTCTATTTATTTTTTTTTATATTAAATTTATTTTTCAGCATAAACCACTGCTCGTGTTCATGGGGTGTTGTTCTGCCTCAGTGGATCCCAAACATCATCCAGAGGAGGGTGGGTTTGCTGAAAGAGACACTTTTCTAGCCAGCTTTTGGGTGGTTTTTCTGAACAAGAGACATTTGTTTCAGTGTGCCAGGAGAGGTTTTCCATGCTGGGTTCCACTGTATTTGGTGGGATTGGATCACCAGCTCTCTCACAGTGACCCAGGGCTCAGCCAGGCCTCCCAGTGCTGATGGAAATCCTACAGAACCCCTTTTAGATCCCCCAGATTTGCAGCATCATTAACATCCAGCTAAAGAAGAGATGGGTTTGGGGTTTTTGATGGTGTTTTGTTTTTTGTTGGTTTTTTTTTGGGTTTTTTTGGCCTTTACAACTCCCTGTGGGAGGGCAGAACGTGGGAGCTGCAAGAGGTGGTTTAGCAGAACAGCTGCTGGTTGGGAATGCAGGGAAGGAGCAGGGGCAGGTTTGGAGATTTTACTTTCCTAATTTACAGGAACATTGCCCTTTACAATCTGTGCAAAGCCCAGTTTAAACTGAATAATGGGAAAGCAGGAAACACTATTAACATTGAAAGGAAACCTGAAGATCAGGTTAATGATGCTGCCTGGTTTCCTTGTACTCTGTGTGTGGACAGTTCCACTGCTCACAGGATAATGTATTTTTAGGTTTGAAAGTCCCCAGGATTTGGGGGACTTCAAACACTGAGGAGAGAAGTTGCTTCATTTCCATCACTGAGGTGAGGTGGTCTGTGAAAGACAGAGGTATTTCTGTCATCTCTAAGCTTTATTTAATGTTTGTTTACAAACTACCCTGAGCCCAATTTGAGTCAATCAGAGTTATTTTAAGCAGGTTTTGTGGGAAAAGGTAACAGAAGGAGCCCTTGAGCTGTATGGTGTGTGCAGAGCACAGGCTGGTTCAGACACACAGGGGAGAGCTGGAATTTGCAATTTCTATGGATGGTTTTTATTTGATATTGGAGGGAAGCTTCAGTGTGCTGAGAACACACGGATCCTTTTTCACTGCTTTTTGTAATTTTCAGTGCCCAGTGCACCTGTCCCAAGCTGCCCTGAGCCCCCAGGTTTGGGAGACTTGCTCAGGAGTGTCCATTCCATGTGCTTTGGGGATGCCATGGTTTGGGGATCCCAATGCTGGGGTGCCAAAATGTGGGATTTGCCTGAGCCAGAAAGGTTGTCCTGATGAGGAAAGCTGCTGAGAAATGGGATCAGAGCTCCTTCACAGCCCCTGGCCTGGGAAGTTACATAGCTCCAGAAACACAACCCAGAGCTGATGGGCACTTGAGATCTCTGAACCAGCCACTTCTCCACCTGGAATCAGTCCCTGGGAAGGGCTTACCCCTGCTCCCAGGGGATCTTGTGTTCAGAGAGACCCCAACTGGAGGTGGCAGGAGCTGGGACAGCAGTGCTTGCCACCAGCACTGCAGTTCTCCTCGGGCTGCTCTGTCTCCCTCGTGTCCATCTCAGTCGGGAGCTCTTGGCAGCATTCATTCATTCATTCATCCTGTCACAGGGTGCTTTTCTATTTGGGGTCAGAGCAGCCAGCACTGCCAACCCCCAGGAGATGGGGAGTGTGTGGGGAGTGTTTGGGGCTGGTTGTGGGCTGGGAGCTCTGTGCACAGCCGGTGGGGTGAGCGGGGTGGATCCCCGCTGGTCGACAGCCGGTTGGATATGAGCCAGCAGTGTGCCTCAGTGGCCAAGAAGGCCAATGGCTCCTGGCCTGCATCAGGAATTATGTGACCAGCAGGAGCAGGGAGGTCATTCTTCCCCTAAACTCAGCACTGGTGAGACCACATTTTGAGTGCTGTGTCCAGTTCTGGCCCCTCAGTTCAGGAGGGACATTGAGATGCTTGAGCGCGTCCAGAGGAGGCAACGAGGCTGGTGAGGGGCTGGGAACACAAGCCCTATGAGGAAGGTTTGAGGGAGTTGGGGTTGTTTAGCCTGGAGAAGAGGAGGCTCAGAGGTGCCCTCATGGCTCTCTACAGCTCCCTGAAGGGAGGCTGCAGACAGGTGGGGTTGGTCTCTTCCACCGGGCAGCAACTGGCAGAACAAGAGGACACAGCCTCAGCTATGTCATGGAAGGTTTAGGTTGGATTTTAGGAAAAAAAATTTCACTGAAAGAATAATAAAATACTGGAATTGTCTTTGTAGGGAGGTGGTGGAATCACCATTTCTGGATATATTTAAAAAAAGACTGGACTTGGCACTTGGTGCTATAGTCTAGTTGTGGTGTTAGGGCATGGGTTGGACTTGATGATCTTAGAGGTCTCTTCCAACCTCATTATTCTGTGATTCTGTGATTCTGTGATTCTGTGATTCTGTGATCCAACATCTCCCAGAGCCGTGTAGCCTGAGCCAGCTGCTGGGAATAATCCCTGTGCTGTCCCTCTGTCCTGCAGCTATGGGTGAACCAGGAGGATGGGGTGGAGGAGGGAACCAGCGAGGTGCAGAACGGCCACCTGGACCCCAGCGCCGACTGCCTGTGCCTGGGCAGGACCGTGCAGAACCGCGACCAGATGAGAGCCAACGTCATCAACGAGATCATGAGCACCGAGCGCCACTACATCAAACACCTCAAGGACATCTGTGAGGTACCTGGGGCTGGGGACAGCACATGGGGGCTGGGAGCAGGGGAACAGGACATGGGGGCTGGGAACAGGACATGGGGGCTGGGAACAGGACATGGGGGCTGGCCTGGCTCTGTCCCCACTATACCAAACACCTCAAGGACACGTGTGAGGTACCTGGGGCTGGCACACCTGCCCATGGAGGGGACCTGGCAAAGGTTGAGCCTGGGTTTGTGCTGCCTGGGTGATTTGGGAACAAGCTGGAGTGTCTGAGGACTGTGTCTAATGGAGGAGCAGCATCTGTCAATATGTATTGACAGTTCTGAGAATTTCCTGCTGGATCTGATAATTCCTTTAGTTTGTATTAACCAAAAGTGCAATTTCCTGACCTTTATTCCATAGCTCTTTGACTAAAACATGATGAGGTTGAGATCCTTCAAGCAGTCCTCTTAATTAAAACCCAATGCCATCTACTTTTGAACTTGTGATTGAGGAAATTAGGTTGTAATTAAACCAATCAGTTAGCCATGTCATCTGTGCCTTTCATGTCAGGTTCACAATTTCCCCTGGCTCAGGATGGGCCCCATTTGCCTTTTTTATGGCAAGACTGAGGGCAAAATGTTTCCACCATGTGAAATGAAGAAGGGAACCAGCAAGCAATGGACTTTAGTGATTGACCCCACAACTCCCCAACTTGGTTCTTGTTCATTAGGTTACAGTTAACCTCTACAACCCCTTAAGTTCAGGATTAGTTCCCTGAGCTGACCCAAAGTGCAGAGCCTGTGGTGCTGGGTGTTTGGGAAGGGGAACACGTGGCTGTGCCAGAGAGGCTGGGCACTGTGTGTAGAGGTGTCCTTATCACTGAGAGGCAGAAGTTCTGAGCACTGAAATCAAAGTCTGGGGATGGCTTTCAGCTCATCCCTCGCAATGTTTAGGATTTAGTGAGCCTCTGCCCAGTCAATGTGGTGAATCCCCTTGGGAATTGTGCTTACAGGAATGTCTTCCTCCCTTCATACTTTCTGCTTTTCTCCCAGCAAGGCAGAGCAGTCATCCAAAAAGCATCTATGACACTTTTCAAAAATGGAAGAGCCTTGGGATTTCAATTTGGAAACAAATGAGCTTAATTCCAATGTGCTATTTCAGTCCGAGAGCTTTGCATTGGAGAAGGGAAGACTGCAGACACTTCTCCACGTATTGTTTCTTTTCTTGCATTTGCACTTTTCTGTTGGAAACAATAATAAAAGAAGCAAAAATAAACCTTAACTTGCATCTCCAGCCATGTCACCATGTTTCTGCCAACTGGGATTCTCAGGAGGTGCAGGCAGGTTCAGCTGCAGTGAGGAAACACTGATTTACTACCCCTAATGATGTATCCCAGACAGCAGAAATCCAGAAAGCTCTCTCTTTTCTCTGTATGATGCAGACTGGGATTGAGGGGATAAATCTTACCTGCAGGTAGAACACCAGGAAATGATTCAGCTAAGCAGGGAGGAGGACTGAAATGGGCATTCTCATCTGTGGAACGATGGGCTGTGCCTTGCTGGAGAGAGGCTCAATATGCTCAGTTTAATCCAGCAATCCCTTTTTACTGAGGAAGGCTCCCAGAGCTGTCAGCCAGGGCAGGCACAGTGGGGTGTGAGCAGGGCTGGACTGGGAGAGCAGGGCTGGACTGTGAGAGCTGGGCTGGACTGGGAGAGCTGGGCTGGGCTGGGAGAGCTGGGCTGGACTGGGAGGGCTGGGCTGGACTGGGAGAGCCAGGCTGGACTGGGAAGGCTGGGCTGAACTGCCTGGGAGAGCCAGGCTGGACTGGGCTCCCTGTGCCCCTGGTGGGGTGGGCAGGGCTGTTGTTTGTGCCACAGCATGAGCAGGCAGAAGACAACCCTGATGAGCTGCTCTGATAGTGGCACATTCCCCTCTTCCCAGGACTCTTTGTTTTAGGGTGTTTTAGGTATATGATGAAGGATGTGAGGTGTGAGAGGGGAGGGCAGAGCAGCTCTGGCTGGGCTGAGCCTGGTTTAATGCTGAGTTTAGCACTGTGTGGTTCTTCTCATGTATCTGGGCTGCAGTGAATAACAAGTCCTGATAGCAGAGAGGCACCTGAGGATGGGAGGTCGTTCTGGGGGGTGGTGATGAAATGAAGAGCCCTCCCATTGCTCCCCTCTGCTTCAGGATGGGTTTCCACTCCCTGCTCCTGTGTCACTGCACTCCCTGTTGTTATTCCCAACACCCATGGCACGAGTCTGGCCAGGCAGGGAGCTCAGGAGCTGGCCAGCACCGGGATGAAAATCCCCTGTGCCAGCCAAGGCTTGTGGGAAGCAGCTGGATTGGAGGGAATTCCTCACCACAGCAAACCCCACTGCTCCCATGGCTTGCTGTGCTCCAGTACCCAAGTCTGGCTGCCTGGGAGCAGCTTTGGCTCTGGTTTGCCTTTCCAGTTCAGGCAGTCTGAGCTTTGCTCCTGTGCTGGTTCTGGCTGTGTGCTCTTGAGCACCACCCTCACCTGCGTGCTGGGAGCCCTGCACAGAGCACTGGGTTACAGCCCAAGGGGTGCTGGGCCTGCCTTGGGGTGGTTCCAGGGCAGTGTAAACAGCCCCAAACTGGCTCAGAGAGGAAAAAATGTGGAATATTCTCACAGCTGCCCTTGAAGTTACAGCCTGCAGCCTCTTTCTTCTGTCCTTTATCCTGCTCTCAGCCAGGCAAGAAGGATGGATGGAGGATGGATGGATGGATGGATGATGGATGGATGGATGGATGGATGGATGGATGGATGGATGGATGATGGATGGATGGATGGGGGATGGATAGAGGGATGGATGGATGGACAGATGGACTGACCACCTCTCCTGGCTGTCTCTAAGCCCACTGTGGGGTGAAGAAAACTTAGCACTTAACCTCCTGCAAATCCTGCCCAACTTTGGCCTATACTTCAGGGACTACATGGAAAAGTACTTTAAAGTCAGACAGTTTGGCAGCTATTTTTAGGTAGTCATTGAGCAAAACACTCTCCAACATCTGCTCATCAGTCAGCTATCCCTTCTCAGAGCAAACCTGACGGGATGAGCAGGAGGAAGATGACATTGTTTTACGTAACAGAAGTAAATTTACTGGAAAAACTCTGCAGCAGCCTCCTCTGCTGCATGTTATGGATGAATCTTCAGTCTCCTTTTCCTGTCCTGTGCTGGAAACCACCTTCAAACGCACAGAGAGGATGAGGCTTGGGAACTCCTCACATTCCTTTATTCTGCCTGTGCTTTCAGAAGTGCCTGCACAGAAATGTGCTGCTTCAGCTCCTCCAGACACGTGATTCCAGAGAAATGATGAAGCAGCACAGGGAGGGTGAGACTACTGAGGATGGGAATTGCAGCCAATGGCAACCCTGGGGCTGGGAGATGTTCCTGTGTTTGGGAAGGGAGGGATGTCACGGAGCACAGTGAGGGGACACTGCCCCGTGGGCACAGGAGGGATTTCTCCTGGCTTTCTCCTTGGGTTTTTTTCCAGGCTGTTCTGAGATCAGCAGGTAAACAGGAAAATCTGCATGGACAGATGCTCTGTGCCATTTCTCCCTGGTTTGGATTTCAGTTTGGATTTTCATTTGGATGCCCTGTGACCATCCCACAGAGTGGGAAGCAGCCTGCTCCCATTCCGAATGGCCTTGGAAAATCGGGAAGGGAAACCCAGGGAAATGAGTCATCAAGGAGCTCCTGGGGGAAGAGGGACCTAGATTAGGAAGTATGGAAGCTGTTCCATAACCCAAACTCAGCTGAAAAAGCCAGGAAATTCAGGGTGATGGCATCCTCCGAGCTGAGCTGCACATGGCAGAGGTTGGGTCCAGGCCAGGTCAGCCAGAGTTGAATTTCTCGTTCATGCTTGAAGTTCTCCCTGCCAGGAACCACATGGTGAGGCTGAAGGACAGTTCATTGCAGGGTTCCAATGTTCATTGTGGCCCAGCAGCTGCATGTTACCAGCTGGCAGTGTGACTAAGCATCCCGAGTTCCCAAATTTAGCCATTCCACTGGAGCTGCTGGCATTTTCTTCACTTCATTTTCCCCCTTCCTATAGAATAAAGGCAAGCAAAGTAAGCAAAGTCATCTCCTGATAACCCCTGTGTTATTTCTTTCCACTCAGGATGCTGCAAAATGGACCAGGCCAGTTGCAACATCTGAGATTTGGCCTTGCAAAGTTTCTAATCTAAATCATTCTGGTTAGACTTGATGATCCTAAAGGTCTTTTCCAGCAATAACAATCTTGTGATGATCATCCTGGCAGGTGAAGTGTGGGAGGATGAGGAGATTTGTTCAGAACCTTCCCACCCTGCAGCACATCAGCTGCAAACTTGTTGGGGGTGCACTCCATCCCCTTATCCAGGTTGTGGATAAAGATACTAAACAGAACTTGATGATGCTATTAAACAGCTTCCTTGTCCTGATCACTGGGCTGAAAGGAGAAGTCAGAGCAGGCTCAAACAGCCCCTCACAGCTTTCTGTGGAAGCTGTGCCACTGGAAGGATGGGGAAGCAGCAGTGCTTGTAGGACACCTGGGCAGGAGGTGTTGGAGGCAGTGGGGTTTGCAGGAGCAGGCACCCAGCACTGAACACCCCTCTGCAAATCCTTCTTCCTCATCTCACAGGGTTACTTAAAGCAGTGCCGGAAGAGGAGGGACATGTTCAGTGACGAGCAGCTGAAAATCATCTTTGGGAACATTGAGGACATCTACAGATTTCAGATGGGATTTGTGCGGGACCTGGAGAAGCAGTACAACAACGAGGACCCCCATCTCAGCGAGATCGGACCGTGCTTCCTGGAACACGTGAGTCCACTGGGCATTTCTCCTCACATGGCATTCCCAAAGGGGCAGTAATTAGCATTGACTCCATGCTCCTCAGAAGGCTGATCAATCATTATTATTATATTTATTATACTGTACTAATTAGGAAAACCATCGCCCTTACAGACAGTCACGATACAGGTGGACCCAATTGGTCCTTGAATCCAGACACCATCACCATTGGCCAGTTAAGAAATCATCCTTTGGTAAACAAATCTCCCTAACACATTCCACATGTGCACAACAGCAGGTGCAGCAAGTGAAGATAAGGATTGTTTTCTCTGATCTTCTCCCAGCCTTCCCCAGGACAATGCCTGGGAAAGCTGTGCCTGTTCTCTGTGGCCAGAGGCCACAGGCATTGTTCTTCCAGAGCTTGGGCTGGGGAGGGAGAGAAAAACTCCAAAGGCAGGAACCTCTTCTAGTAACAGATCAGGGACTGCTCTGTGGTTCTCCATGTACTTTGGGAGATACAGAGGTGGGAGAACTTGGATATGCAGCTGGATAACCCCCAGTACATCTGAGTCACATGGATGAAAACATACTGGAGGATTTTGCCTAGTCTGTCCTACCGTTCCATAAACTGCCTCCTGCAGGAGCTGATACATTGGCCAATGTTGTAAATATAGCAGGAAATGTCAAACAAATGCCAGCCCTGGAGCTGGAGGCTTTCCTGGAGGGAGAGGAGAGCAGGGTATCAGAGCTCACAGGTGCTGCAGCTCCTGTGCTGTGTCAGGGCAGCAGTTCACTGCTTATCAGGGAAACTCCTGATAAACATTCCTGAAACTTCAGCAGGACATCCCTAAAGAGTTTCAGAGCATCTTTTAAACATCCCTGGGCCTCTCATTGGGCTTTCCTCTGAGAAGGTGCATGAGGTGTTAACATGGCTGGTTCTTATCAGAGCCTGCAAAAAGCAGCATCACATTCCACCTCTGTGCTGGGAAGATGTAGGAAATCTTGCTGAGAATCAGTAACTCAAATGTCATGACTCGAGGCTGTGCTGTCAATTCATTGATAGTGACAATAGCAAGAATTGCTGCTGCGATTTGGAGGAAGATCTGACACTTGCCTGTCACCAGACAGGGGCTGAGAGCTGGCTGATAAACTCCTGATAAATTATCCCTGCTTAGCCATTTGGGAAACCAAGGGGTAAGGATGTTTAGATCCTGTTTGGGGATCTCCAAGGCATTTTGCTCCTCATTTTCTTCAGGAAGAGAGAGCTGTCAGTGCGTGGCTGGGTCAGCTGTAGGGATGGGAAGGACACTGGATCCCTGTTCCCAGAGAGGCAGCTTGTTTGGACCCTCAGGGATTGAGAAGTAATTGCTGGGCAGGCTGTCTTGGCTAAACAGAACCTGTCCTTTTTTTGGAAGGCATTGACCACAGCTCAGTGGAACTGGCTGGTTTGCAACACCTGCCTTTGACCTGGGCTGTCTCAGAGTTAATTTGTGGTGCTGGGCTGTGCCCATCTCCTTCCCAGTGAAATCCTTCTCTGCCCTTTCATTGCCCTGTCTGCATGGCCCAGGTGAATCAAGCCCAAGTTAAAGGTGGCAGTCTGTGGTCAGTGAAGGCAGAAAAAAGACATTCCAACAAAATAGTCACCAAGAAACTTGTTAGACCAGTCGAAAAGGTGGAGAGACGTGTGAGTGGGGTTTTTGTTTGTTTTTAGTGTTTTCTGGGGCTCTGTTCCTGGGGAAATCCACGCAGTGCCATGGATTCCCCATTGGTAAAGGGAATTTCAAACATACCCAGCCCCCAGACACTTGCCAGGTGCTTCAGGATCTTTCAGGGAAAGAGCTGTAGAAATAACAAGGTTATCCTCTTGTCTTACCAAAAGCTGGGTTGTGCCTTTAAACCCTTCCTGCATGATTTGAAGCTGAGAAGAAGCACACCTCTGTGCAGGACTCACAGTAACACACCTGTACCTGCAGAGACCTCGGCCATGAGTCAGAGCGCAGGTCCCTCTCTGCAGTCCCTCCTTTCCCAGCACCGCTTCCAAACAGGAGGAGCACTGTAAGATCTGTCCTTCCTCCTGCTTGGGCTGTGCTTTCTTGGAAATGCAGACTGGTTTGGGTTGGAAGGGTTGAGTCAGGAAGATCATTTTGTTCCAGACCCTGCTGTGGGCAGGACACCTTTATAGACCGGGATGCTCCGAGCTCATCCTTGAACACTTTCATGGATGGGGCAGCCACAGTTTCTCTGGGAATTCCATCCCAGGGCTTCCCCACTCTCCCAGGAGGAATCTCTCCCAGTATCCCTGTTGTGGCAGGAGTTGTTCAGAGTGCTGTGACGTTCCTGAAGAAGCGTGGTGCAAAAGACACCTTGGGGGCACAGGCACATCTGTGCTCCTGCGGGTGATTTCAGCTCTTTTGGGATCCGGGCGCTGCAGAAGGAGAAATCGCGTGGGGATCCAGGAAGAGCTTTATTGTGCTCCTTCCTTGAAGGGTTCAGTGACTAAGGAGCCACTGGGGCAGGGAAAGCAGGGGTTTATACAGGAGGGGCAGGGCAGAATGCTGGGGCCAATGGCATACAATTAATTTGCATGTCACAGCAAGGCATGCTGGGAGAAGCCTTTTTCTCACCCTAACAAAGGAGGCTGTCTCCTGAAAGGGTCTCCCTCCAGGGGACATCTCCCTGCTGGCCCACCAGCCTCCACACACCCCATGGAACCCTGCCCTTCCCAGCCCTGCCTAACCCCTCCTCCTCATTCTGTCTTCACAGCAAGACGGCTTCTGGATCTATTCCGAGTACTGTAACAACCACCTGGACGCATGCATGGAGCTCTCCAAGCTGATGAAGGACAGCAGGTACCAGCACTTCTTCGAGGCGTGCCGCCTGCTGCAGCAGATGATCGACATCGCCATCGACGGCTTCCTGCTGACACCCGTGCAGAAGATCTGCAAGTACCCCCTGCAGCTGGCAGAGCTGCTCAAGTACACGGCCCAGGAGCACAGGTACCTCAGCAGGCACCCCAGGGCTCCTGGGCTGTTCCCAGCAGGGCTTGGGGTTTTCTGTCCAGGGCTCCTTCCCACCCAAGGGCTGGGGTTTTCTGTCCAGGGCTCCTTCCCACCCAAGGGTTGGGCTTTGCTGTCCAGGGCTCCTTCCCAACAGAACATGGCATTTTCTGTCCAGAGCTCCTTCCCACCCAAGAGTTGGGGGTTTCTGCCCAGTAATCCTTCCCAACAGAGCTTGAGGTTTTCTGTCCAGTGCTCCTTCCTAGCAGAGCTTGGAGTTTTCTGTCCAGTGTTCCTTCCCTACACAGGGCTTGGGGCTTTCTGTCAGTGCTACTTCCCTACAGAACTTCGGGTTTTCTGTCCAGTGCTCCATCCCACTCAGGGGTTGGGGCTTTCTGTCCAGTGCTACTTCCCTACAGAGCTTCGGGTTTTCTGTCCACTGCTCTGCCCCGCTCCCAGGGCTTGGGATTTTCTGTCCACCTCTTGTCCCTGTGACATCCTGGATCAACAAGAGCAGGACAAAGGGTTAGCAGACAGTTCAGTCTTCTCAAAGCAGCAATTCTCGATGGAGACACACTCAGCTCTGTTCTAATCAGACATGTGAACTCATTACCCCTGGATGTACTTTCTGATGCTGCCAGTTAACACTGGAAAAATTACCTAATTAGCATTCAGTGGTCTGAGAGGCTCCTTCCCTGCTCCTGGGGAGAACCTGGGCACAGTGAGTACAGGGCCAGGGTCTGCAGCTGGAGCCTGATGTGGGCAGAGGGGCAGAGCTCCAAACTTGCTCAGCTTTTCAGCCCAGTCCCATCTCTGGTTTTGCCATGGAGCTTAGGTTCAGAGAAGCACCCACAGTTTGATTGCTTCCCAAAATTTCCAGGATCTCTTTTGCTGCTGCTGAGGACAATCAGCCTGGCTGCCTGACATTGTGAATCAGGAGCAGTGCCTGTGATACCACTTGGGATTTACTGCTGTGAAAATAAGGTGAAAGAAAAATCAGGCCCTGTAAGAGCAGATTTGTTCCTACCCTGCCAATTTTCTTACTTTTTCCAAAACCCATTTAAAAACAAGTGAGAACAGAAAAGACCAGAGATGTTTCAGAAACTTCTCTAAATGTCTGATGGCTTGTTTTTCCCAAGCCCAGAGCAGAAGTGTGATGTGAGCAGAGATGCACTGATTTGCTTTGACCTGACCCACAAGTCTGAGTGACTCGTGGTAGCCAAATGCCCAAAATCACCAATTTGGTCAAGCTTTTGGCTTCAGATCCAATTCCTGCTTTTTCAAAAACCAAATCAAACTTGGAATGGACTCGTGGGAACCTCGGGGTATCAGAAAACAGCTCTGGGATCCCACAGGTTGTGGGTTTTCCCTTCAGCAGCCATGGGAGGACCCACAGCACTGGCTGGGAGCTCAGATGTGGCTTCCCAACAGGAGGGTGTTTAAAATGACCCTCTGTGATTTGTCTGGGAGCCACAGCAAAGGGGGGAATGTGGGCAGTGTGATAACACCAGGGTTGGGTTATTTTGGGAGCATGTTTTTGTTCCCTTTGGGATGTTTTAAGCTCACCATGTTGTTCAGGAACCACACAGAGTCGTGTTCTGAGGAGCCTTGGGAGCTCTCCCGTGGTCAGCAGCAGCTGGGTGACTCAGCCTGAGGGCTCTGTGGCACTGGATTGCCATGGACACCCCGTTTCTCCTGTTCTCCATGCTCTGGGAAGGGAAGGCAGGGTTTGCAAGGTGGGGTTTGCTCACCTTGCATTAGGAGGTGTAACCCCTGAAGCTCTGACAGCACAGGGAGGAAACCTGTGGCTGCACAGGGGTGCCATATCCAGCCCTGGAGTGAGGCAGAACATGGGAAAACACAGGATTCCCAGGGAAAGCAGGGATGTGAGCTTCATCTAACAGAGGACATGATCCTCTTTTTGCTTTTTTCCTTCCTTTTCACTACCACCACACCTGCAGAGCTGTGGATTTTCCCTGCACCAGGTCAGGGCAATGCTGAAACCAGAATCCAGACCACACTCCCCAGAGACAGCACCTGATGCTTGGCAAGGATCCAGACTTGGATTCTGATGGAGCACTTGGAAGTGACCACTGCAGCCCCAGCAGAATTGACAAACCATTTATTTACCTTCATCTCATGGTTAATGGGATCCTATTATTGCTTCATGGCCAAATGCTCTGCTCCTGTTGTTTTTTTCTTCTAAGTTTTTGCCAGCTCTGCCACAGACATGGGCTGGGAGCCCAAAAAGTTCAGTCCTGAGCCTTTTCTTCATTACAGCATGACAGGAAAACATTGCTGGGGTTTTCTCAGTGGAATTAGGGAATTAGCATTCCCAAGATAAACGGCTGGCACCGTCCCACTCTGCATGGAGGCAGGATGGGGGTGAGCTCAGAGCCTGCCTCCCTCCTTCCCTGCCTGTCTGCAGCCTGGTTCGTTTGAATTTTTCACAAAGCCACATCTGTTCACCTCTTAAAGATCTACTCCAGTTTAAAATTAATTAAATATAGGACAGTCCTAAGTGCAGCTTGCTGGAATCCTGAGCATTCCCAGAACAGAAGGGAGCTGGAGTTGGGAATGGAGGAGCATGTGAGGAGACTCTGCCCGGGAGTCCCTCCCTTCTGAGCATGAGGATCACTGCTAGGAGATCATTGGTGACTGTCTGCAAACCCTGCACCTCTCACTGCCTCCCCAGAGCCTTCCTGGCTGTAGGCACTTCCCTGTTTCCCCACAGAACTCATGGATGTTCTCCAGGCCACCCTGATGCCCCCTGGCACAGCTCCTGGCCTGCCTTACACAACCAACACTCCCTTCACACAAAGGGAAGCACAAGAAGTTCGTTGTGTAGCACGATCCCTTCCATCCCTGGAAGTGTCCAAGGCTGGGTTGGATGGGACTTGGAGCACCCTGGGATAGTGGAAGATGTCGCTGCCCATGGCAGGGGGTGGAGCTGGATGGGCTTTAAGATCCCTCCCCACCCTGACCTCTCTGTGATGGATATATCAGGCAGCCCATTCTCTATTTTCCTGTATTTTGCTGTAGGCCCAGACCTGCTGTCCTGGAATTTGTGGGATTATTTATAACCACACCTAGATTTTTGACATAAGAATTTAAGAACAAAATGAAAACTCAGCTCAAGATTTCATCTGAGCAAGGATGCCAAAAGAGCAAACAATGTTTTTTGTATATGATGGTGTATTTGTTTCTTAGTATTTATCCCGTTGGGAGCACATGGAGTGGGATCTAATTCCCAGTATCCACCCCTCTTTTAGCTGTCACCAGCACAATCCTTAGCAATAATCAATAAAGCCATTCCCCCTGCAGCTGCCCAAGATGGCAGTTTTTCTCATTAGTCAGCAATCAATAGCAGCCCTTAAGTTAATAACACATCGTGGTGGTGCTGTGGCAGCTGGCCTTGCCTGTCTTCCCAATGGAAATGAACAGTACAGCTCCTTGGAATGGAAAAGCAGGCACAGGGCAGGAATCAATGGCATTGATTTCAGCATCACTTTTTGAAAAGACTGATCATCATCCTCAGTGGCCCTGGCAGGAGCCTGTTCTCACTCTGTTACTGCACTCACAGGGCCATGCAGGGAATAAAAAAAAGAGTTGTTTGATTTGCTCACCTGAAATCTGCAGTGAGAGTGAATTCCACAGGGTGACTGCTCTGGGAGTGGCTTGGAAAGTGCTCTGGTCTTTGTCTAAATGAACCCTTTACTAAATGTTCATTTTAAAACCAGAAAAATCCAGGCCCAAAGACAGAGGCTGTAGAAGTGTTCAGCCTGTCCTTAGAATGCTCTTCAGCTGGGCTCCTTGAGGGTGTAAAGGGCTCCCCAGTGCTGAGCTGGCAGAGGCCAGACTGGGCTCCCAACTCCAGTTTCCATCGAGCTGCTCCGTTGTGACAATCCAGATGGAAAAATCCCATGGTAGCACTGCGGGGGTCACCCCTGGCCGTGTCCCTTTGGGCTGGTGAGGTTGTGACAGGCATGTCCTGCTGCCTTTGATGGCCTTTCCCTCTGTGTCCAGTGACTACAGGTACGTGGCCGCTGCCCTCGCCGTCATGAGGAACGTCACGCTCCAGATCAACGAGCGCAAGCGGAGGCTGGAGAACATCGACAAGATAGCTCAGTGGCAGGCCTCTGTCCTGGACTGGGAGGTACAGTAAACCTGGCCTGGAAACCTGGCAAATTCCTTGGATTATCTAATAACACCCTATAGTTCATGTCCCACAGTTTGGGATGAAGCCTGGGGTGGAGACGGCACAGTTGTGATTTTGGGGTGGTGCTCAAACGTTAATGGTACCCTAAAAAAAATCCAGTTCAAATTTCATCATTAGCAACCTGGAGTGGCTTTTGTGGTTGCAGTGCTGGTAGTAGGTGAGACTTGGAGCAAACACCATGGGCATTCTACCCTGTGCTCTGTCACTGGGGAGGAGGGAGGGAAAGATGTAGCAAAAAGCCCTTGGAAATTGCAAGAGGGTAAGAAAATGAAGAAAATCCTTCTTGTGGCTGCTTTATGACTGGAAGCCAAACTGTTAAACTGGAGTTAGGGATGCTATTTGCATTTTATAAATGACATCCCACTTAAAGATATTTCTGAACCAGCCCTATGTGTAGTGATGGTGTAATTAAGGAGCTGAGAGGCACAGGGAAGGCAGAGTCAGCAGAAGGATTCCTCACCAGCAGGCCTTCAGTCTCTACATTTGTGCCATGTGTTTGGAAGAAAAGCCATACTAAAATTATGTTCTTCCTTTCTTTTCGTCCCTGATTTTTAAAAATCATTGTATGGAAGTAATCCATAAATAGGGTTTTGCAGCAGATTGAGGACAAACGTTTTTGTAAATCCTCTCGCTGTTGTCATCAGCCCATGTGTTCAGCAAGGAGATAATCAGAGTGATGGAGCAGCCTTTCGGCTTCCTCACTTGTGAAGTCTGAAATAACTCCACATTCCAGTCATGGGGATCATACTGTGGAAATGAGTGTATGGGAAAGAGGCGTTCATCCTTTAATTCTTTTATTTCTGGCAGAGATCTGGGAAGGCTGGGAGGAGAGGGAGCAAAATACAGGTGCATCACCTGTGTCCTCCTTAGCTGAACTAGTTTCATTACTGTGATGGAGGATGGAGGTTTATCACCCTGGATCTGGTGATAAAACACACAATAAAACACATAAATGCAGCAATCAGAGCTGGGATTGTAGCTGGCTGGGAGAGCAGAGAGCACAGACAATGTGTCTGATTGTTTTACTGCTCAGGAACATCTCTCACTGCCACGCAGACTCGTTTCCAGAATGAGGAAACTGCTCTGCAGGAGGCACAGGAACATCAGCTCCACGCTCAGCCCTGGAGTGTGCCATGGGATGAGCTAATGGGGGTCATTTGTGAGGAGCTCTGAGACCCTCATTGTAAATAAATCTCAATTAAGGCCAGATCCATTCCAAGCCAGTGAATATTCATGTGTGAGAGGGAAGCCAAGGTGACCTCCACACAGGATCTATGGAATAGCAGTTGCTTTTTCTCTTCCATTAGCTCAGTTGATAATTCATTTTTATTTAGCCCTGTCCTTGATAATTCAGTCCTGCTTAGCAGTATCCATTCTTTATCTCCATCCCATCCTCAGGCACTTGCCAAATTATTCTTCCAGGCTTTTTTCAGCTATTCCAGATTTTGAGCACATTATTGCAGCAACATCCTTCAGCTTCTCATAAAATAGCACAGCCTGCTGCTGGTGTGCTCAGAAATCCCATGGGAACACAGCTCCTGGTCAAAGCAAAACACCCTCCTTGCCCTTTTTATTCTGGATTTTGGATCAAGAAGAGGCACAGAGTTTTGATGAGAAAGTAGATGATGAGAGCTGGACCCAGCAGAGGATTTCACTGCTGATTCCTTCCTCTAAAGCAGTTCTGAATCACCAGATCCAGCCCCCACTGCACAGCTGTCCATGAAACAGCCAGAAGGATGCACAGAGACCCAAAATACCCAGGAGTGAGCCACAGTGTAATGCAGGAAGAGAGTGGGAGAAATGAAAAGATTGGATCTTTGGGAGGTGCTTAGATTTGCTGAGATGTGTGCAGGTGTTCCTTAGACAGTGCAGACTCCAAATCCCACTCGGTGGCTGCAGGGATGTCCCCAGGACAGGGTTGGCTCCTCACCCACCCCCTGAGGGCTCAGAGCTTTGTTTCCTGTGCAGTTTTGGGGTACAGGAGGGACCTCCTGGTGTGTGTCCCCAGCCTCTCCAGGCTGTGGGGAAGGCACAGTTCTGGTTTGAGGAGAAGGGCACAGCTCCCAGTTGGTGCTTGCTGTCAGTGCTGTGCTGCCACAAGGCCTGTCCAGTCTGTGTGGAGCTCCCTGAGCAGAGAGAGGAACCCCCAGCTGTAATTCCCAGCTTTCCTGGCCCTGCTCCTGCTCTCATCTGACCTTTCTGTACCTGTTCTGTCCATCCCAGTGGCTCCAGAGCACAGGCACAGCACAGCCTTCCTGAGACCCCCCTGGAAACAGCAAGGAAACAGGAACCAGGTGTAAAAAAATTACCACTTCAGTCTTATTTCCACAAGAAATGCAGGCAGGGCACAAGATAGAGCTAATCCCAAATTCCCACCACGTTGTCACTTCACGAATTATTTCAGTGGCTGAATGCTGCAGCACGTGGAAATATTTCATTTGGAGGAATGTCTGTTTTTCCTCAGCATCTTGAAACTGATGATGCTGATTCTCTGCCCTGAAGTTGCGTTTTCATTTCTAAATTTACCCATGTTTTGTCAGGAGATGGTGGAAAAAGATATTTTAAAGAAGAAGGGAAAATTCCCAACCAAACAAAAAATACTTAGTGAGGGAGTATCTGAAATGTTTTCACGTATAAAATGTGTGCACATTTTCTTGCAAGAGGAGGTGCTGTTGGGAATGCTGATCCTAAAACAAATAGGAAAGGTAAGGGTGTGTCCAAGCTGCTTTAAGCAGAGGGGTTTTATTGAATCCCATATTTTAGGAATCATTTTTATCCCCTCCATGGGATAAAAGTTTATCACATGCATGGCCCTATGGTGGTGAATTTCAGGGTGAGTATTTGAAAACTGCAAATATCCTTAAGTTGACCAAAACCAGAGGTTTTCCCCAGGAAATCCTGTAAGCAGGATCTGATTGTTTATATTGCCAGTGGGACCAGGAAAGGGTGGCCTGGCACAAGGGACAGCCAGGCCTGAAGTCCTATGGAATTATTGGCAGCTTTGGCATCTTTAGCCAAGTAATGACTGAGCAGAATTGTAAGGGAAGATCCTGATCTCACTGGCTGCTGTAAATCAGGAATAATCCCAGTCACTCTGAGATGAGTTCCTGTGTGATTTGTGGCAATGTGAGCTTGACTGAGAAGCCTGGCTTGGTCTGCTGCCACGTGTGAGTCACTTATTTATTTTGTAACCTGAATTCCCAGCGTATAAACAGACCCAGAGAGGTGCTGCCCACAGCAGTCCTCCAGTGCCTTTTGTCCTTTGAGCTGGTAATGGCTCAGAATTTGGGGCTTCCACCACCTCCCACCGAGCCCTTGCAGTGCCTTTCAGTTCTGAAGTGTTCCCTGATGTTCCAGCTCCATTTCCCCGGCTCAGCATCATCCCCTTGCTCGTAGTGACACACCCTCAGATCAGACCAGTGACATTTAGAGGCAGCAAGGCAAACCACCACACAGAGCTGGCTTCAAAGGGGCAGCCAGAGCATCCTGGGCAGCCTTTGCTGCTCTCTCCCTCCCCTGTTCCTGCCCTCCGAGGGAGCTCCAGCCCTCAAAGCTTGGTGGGAATAGCTCCACACACACACAGAGCAGGATTAAAAGAGATTTCCACAAAGCCCATCATCATTTCCAAGTCTTTGCCAGCCCCAGGGCTGTGTTTACACCTCTCAGGTGCATCCCTGCCTTCTCCTCTGCTTCTGGTCCCTCTCTCCTGCCCTCCGGGTGGATCCTGTGAGCCTGAGGAGCCCTGTGCCACCTGTGTCACCTGTGCCACCTGTGCCACCTGTGCCACCTGTGCCACCCTGCCCAGCTCGCTGGGCTCTGCTCCTGGGCAGATCTGGGCTCTGTTGCCATGGGCAGGGCTCATCTCAGCCTCCCTGAGTGCCCTATATGGATGATGTGGAGATGGAGAACAGGTCTGTGCCTCAGCACACCTGGAATTGCTCAATTTTATGCCTTTTCACACAGCTCTTGAACTACATCAAAACAAAATGAAGCAGCAATCACTGCAGCAGTTCAGGCTCCCTCTCCAGCTCTCCAGCAACACTTTCTGCCCTTTTAGCCCAGTTTTCTCACAGGAGGGAGGTGATGTGGCTCCCCTTCCCTGGGAGGAGATCTGTGGAGGTCCCTGATCCAACAGGGGACAGTTAACCAGGTTTGGCAGAGGACAGAGCCTTGCTCATCAGCCTGGGTGGGTTTGAACTTGCTATTTAAACAGATTACTTTGGTTTGTGTAGATATTTAGATATTTCTGCCAAAGATTCCCATGGGTTGCCACTGTGGCAGCTTTCAAGAGTATTAAATTTCCATGAAGGGAGAAATATATAGATATTTGAGAAATTTAATGAGCATTGTCTTTTTAAATTTCTTCCCATTCCTGTTATTTACGGGTCCTTTAAATCAAGACTTGCTGCCCTTAATTATGTAATCTATAATCACTGGCCTCAGCCTGATACTGCATTAGTGAATCCAAGAGTGCCACGAAAGGAAGCTGCCTGTAACCACCAAAGTGAGGACAGCCTGATGAGAAATCCTCCTGGGAAAAAAACCACGGCAGGGACTGAAATTGAGCTTTCTTTTTTCTCCTTCTTTTATTTTTTCCCCCCCAGCAACAGAAGGTATCAGAACTGAGCTTGTTGAAAAGGACAACATTTCGCTGGCGTTCCTTTTTGTGATCTCAGTGTAGCCCCGGGTGCTAATCAGCCTGTCAGTCTCTAATTGCAGAACAGCAGTGTCAGGCACGAGAGAGCCCTGCTGGCTCCCTGGGAGCTGAAAGGGCACAAATCCCCTCCTGGTGCCCAGCAGGGACAGCACGGGGCCGTGCCAGGGTGGGCTGGGGGCAGCTCTGGTGGGCTCTGAGCATTCCGAGCTCAGGGATGTGTCTGGAGGGGGGGCAGCTCTCAGTGCCAGCCCTTCCTTGGTGTCCTGCTGCTCCTGTTTATTTATGACACTCCTGAACCTCGGTGGTTCCTGCCAGCTGCCCATCACAGAGCAGCTCACTGGGGACGCACATCCTTCCAGGCAGCAGCAGCAGAGCTGACCCCGAGCTGTCACAGCCAGGAGTGGCCCGGGGACTCAGTGTGTCCCTGCAGGGCTGGAGGGAGCTCACATCCAGCCAGCCCAGAGCTGGCTCCTTCTGCTCCCAGAGCTGCACACCAGGGACTGGGGAAGAGAGGAGGCAGCTTGCCCTGGCTGCCCTCTGGATGCTGCAGGATGTGCATGAAAACCCTGGGTGCTGGGAAGGGTTGAGGGGTTTTTTGGAGGCTTCTGTGTCAAAATTTAGGTTGGAAAAGGTGTCAGGAGTCAAGAGTTTTTCTCTTGGCTACTCTGCTGCATGTCTGCCAGTTCAGAGCAACTAAAAGTTCAGCCTCTTCCTTTTTCAGCAGGGTTTGTCTTAACTGACAGAAGGATACAAATGATCCGGCCTCTGTGGGAGTTGGAAAAAAATGGAGAAGAAAAAGGAGATTTTTTTTCCTGGTTCTGTACAGATTTGGAGGCGTGGGACTGGGGCAGACATTTGGGGAAGTCTGCCTGGAGCAGGGATCCAGGCGTGCTGGGGGAGCCACGGTGGCAGTGGAGCTGAAAAGCCAATGTCCCTCTTTGCCCCCACCCTGCAACTGCCCCCTGAGCCCTCAGTGGGGACCAGAAGAAGACAATTTGTGCTCTTCAGGGAGGTACAAGTGTGTCAGGACAAGAAAAGCCTTTGGAGGTTGGGAGGTTGTGCCCTGAGGCTCCGCTGTGGGAATTGGCACAGCAGCCCAGGCTGGAGGAGCGGGGCAGGACCATGGACACGCTGCTCCTGACAGCCACGTGCCAGTCCCAAACTCTTTGCAATCTGTATTTCCCAATTTGCTCACCCCATGTGGGAAATCAGCTATTTCTGGCCTATAGACTGGATATAGAAATTGTTTTCCCACATAAGAAATGCAATACAAATCCCATCATTTCGGATCTGGATGTTTTTGGCTTATGTTGCTTGCAGGGACTACACAGTTTGGATTCAGCTAATCAAGTAGAAGTGTTTACAGAGCCCTCTGTGTGTCCTCAGGCTTCAGATGCTACCACAGGAGTAAAAGACAAAGCTGGCTTCCTATTTTTAGCAGCCAGCCTCTGCTAAGCTCGCCCCCTCTCCTAAAGCTCCCATCCATAGGCTTGTGGGAATCTTCTTCATGTAAGCTCATGTGTAGCCAGGAAATCTCACAGTTTCTGGTGCTGGTGTGTTTTCTTCAGAGGCTTCTTGTCCTGAGGCTCATGTGCCCCTGAGCTGTGGCAGCAGCACTTGGTCCCTGGGCTCTGGCCAGGCTGAAGTGGGACCCTGCTGAGGCACTGGGTGGCCACAGCCCATCCCTGTGGGCAGTGACCCTCTGTGTCCCGGGGCAGCACAGGCCCAGGAGTGAGGCAGGGAGGTGGATAAAGCCCTGGCTGAAGCCATTTGGAAGTCTGTGCTGCAGCTTGGTGATGCAGTGACTTAATGAAGCTGCTGCTGTCACGGGGCCTGGGGACACAGGCGGTCGCTCCCAATCAATGCTGAGAGGTTAATTACACATTTACCTGAGCAGCAGTTTGAAATGCTCACCACGGAACCAGGACTGGGGGGGACTCCTGGCTGCCTTGGCACCTGCAAGTGCGAGCAGCACCAGAAGTGTGTGTCTAGCTAGATGCCCCCCATAGCTGGCTGAACCTCGACAAGCTGTTTGCTGGGATTTTTGGGATGCTCTCGTCCCAGAAATCGCTTCCAGCTTGGCATCAAAGCCAGAGCTGCAGTAGTTTACAGCCAAAAAGAAAAAAAAAAAAAAGCTCTTGTCTGTCTTGCTCCTGAGTGCTGCTCCTGAGCTCTCTCCTGAGTGCTGCTCCTTACCTTTCAGCTGGAGCCATCCCGCCTCCTCCCTCCTCGCTGCTCTGCCGAGATGCCCACGGGGCAGGTGGTGGTGAATTCACCCATTTTTAATAAATAGATTTTAATTAACTTTTTAAAAAGTCCAGCTCATTCCAATTAGTGGAGGGTGAGTGCATTTGTTCTCTCAGAGAGTGGGAGAGAGAGCACTGTGTTTTCAAGACCATCTGCTCATGAATCCTTTAAAAAAACTCGGAGAGAAAAACAAGCGTTAGCCGGAGGCAGGGAAGGGTGAGGGCACTCTGGCAGCCAGCAGGGAGGCCTGGGCAGCCGGGGGTGCCTGGGGCTGCCACAGGAGCCAGGGTGGTCCTGACAGGATTTTGGAGGTGGGGAGCTCTAATGAACTCTGGGAGAAGGGACTGGCAGTGCCTGGATGAGTGAGAAGAGAGGCAGCAATCCAGAGGGCTGAGTTCTGGCAGCCTCACAGATGGGGAACTGCTGCCCCAGTGTGTCCCAGGCTTTTGTAGCTGGCTGGAGATTTCAGGAGGAGAAGTGCTTTGGGTTGCTCTTCTAAAGGGAGGGTGTGCAGGGAGTTTGGTGCCCTGAATTCAAAGTGCCTCCAGGGTGGGCAGGAGGAAGGGGCTTTGTTTTCCTGATGCGACCAGCACCTGCAGCAAGATCCAAGGGTCTGGGGGCACCTGGAGAGGGCAGTAGGGACAGTGTCTGGGGCACTCTTTCCCCATTGCAGTGTGAGCTGCAGTGACCATGTTTCAAGCATCCACACCTCCTTCATTTATTCCCCTTCCTTCAGAATTATCCCCCAATCCCAGTCTCTGGTCCAAAATTATATGGGGTGGCTTTGACAGCTGCAGAAGGGCCAAAATCTTAATAAATTGCTGCTCCTGCCCATCATGCAAAGACAAACTTGTCAGTGCAGTTGACTCAGCCTCGTTCCCTGTGCCCTCCAGGGAGACGATATCTTGGACCGCAGCTCGGAGCTGATCTACACGGGAGAGATGTCCTGGATTTACCAGCCTTATGGACGGAACCAGCAGCGAGTTTTCTTTCTCTTTGATCACCAGATGGTTCTCTGCAAGAAGGTAAGGACACAGCTAAGGGCATGCTGTGGGCAGGCTTGCCAGTCCAAAGTGGTTTTCAGGGCACGGTGGCTGTTGGCTGCACGTGCAGGAGAGGGTGTGGGGAGCCCTGAGGAAGGACAATCTGCATGCTCGGGGTGGGGAGCACTCTGTGATAGAGGGATTTTTGTGCTCATAGCAAACCCAGCCTCCACTTGCTCTTTTCATGCCTCTATCTCATGTGCCCCTGGTTTGGCTCGTTGCCTCCCTTCTCGTTTTAGGTTTTGGCTGCAGTGTATGATCTGGGATTAGATAGCCCTGCAATTCCTGTATGAACTACAAAACCTGGCACTGGGGCTGACAGCCCAATTGCTGCACTGAGATGGTGATGAGCAGCAGCCAGGCTGTGCTGGGTGTCTGTGCTGGTGCTTGGGGAGAGGCTTTTCGAGCCTCATCCTCCTGTCTCAGCTGTGATGGGTTTTACAGGGCAAAAACTGGAGGAAGCCATGGAGAAGGAGGGAGGGCAATGCAGGATGCTGGTGCTGGTGTGCTGTGGTGTTAGTAGCAGCAGGTGAGCTGTGATCCACAGAAACTGCGTCCAGCAGCAGCTCTGGTACCCATGTGTCCCACTGAGGTGGCCCCAGCTCGCTGCCACCACGCCTGTGTGACACAAAGGGACAGAGCTCCTCAGTGCTGGCTGTGACAAATCAGGATTTGCTGTCACTCCCTGCAGCCGCACAGAACCGTGCAGGGGGTGTCCCTGGGACAGCACTGTGTTCCTGTCACAGCTCCTGGGCTCAGGACAGGCTGAGCCTAGGACCCTCTGAGGAGCCCTGGCACCGTGGGAAGGGCATGGGTGGGGACGTGGGTGGCTCCTGACTCAGCGTGGCATCACTGCCCCTCCGTGGCCTGGGCACTGCAGTGGGTGGCACTTTCTTCTCCTGAGTCATGGCTGACTGAAGTTCTGCCTTCTGGAATGCCTGTGCTTGTTTTCCCCCCTTGTCGCTTTCCTCCCTTTCCCAGCCCTGTACAGGAACATCCACAGAGCAGCAGTGAGAGCTGCAGTGAGCCTGGAGGGGCACAGCTGCTTTCCCTCTTAGTGCTGACCTCCTGCTCTTTCACTGTGACCCCGAATTCCCAGTTCAGAAGGCAGCACCCAGTCTGGCTTGTACTGGGTCTGGTGCAGAGAGGTACTGAGCATTCCCTTAACTCTGGGAAAAGCAGGGCTGGGATTCCCATGGTCGTCAGCACGAGTGGACAGTGGTCAGCAGTTCACAGCGGGCTGCTGGGGGCCTGCAGGGCTCATCACAGTTCAGCCAGTGTTAGTGTTCCACTGTCCTTCCCCCTTCTGCAGGAAAAGGCATTTTGGGAGGTGTGGAGGTGTCTGGGCCTTCCTGGCAGCACACTGGCTCCGTGTCAGGACCTGCCAAGGCCTCGTGGCAGTGTGTGCCCACCCAGCCCTGGGGTGAGGGGCACAGGGTGGCAGTCCCTCTGGTGACCCCATGGGCACAGGGTCAGACCCCCCTGCCGTTCTCCCTCTGTGTGTCTGTTTCCAGCATCAAACTGCAGCTGCTGCTTTTCAGCCTCAGGCTAGGAGGGGAGATGAGGTTCCAGCTGGACTCTCCCATCCTGATCACACTTTCCTTTATTCAGAATGAGTGTCCAAGTCTGGAGTTCAGAGGAGTTTTAGCTCCATTTTGGGACCACACATCCCATATATAAAATAAATGTGGGTGGTTTGTAGTCTGTGCTGTCTTGACCCCCCCAGACAGATCCCAAGAGGCAGGATCAGCTCTGCCTCAGAGCTGGGGCCACTCAGGGAGGCACCACTTACCTCAAGGCTTGGGAAGCTGGGGCCTGCCTTCCTTATTCCCTGCTCTCAATCTGAGGGGTGGAATATGATCCACACACCCCTGACAGCAGCTTTGGAACCACTTAGGATGGCACATCTCAGTGAATCTTTACAAAATCTGCATTTGTGGGTTTTCTTCAGGTGTAATAAATTAACAGGTATGATACATCCCTCATCATGACACAGTCTATATGAAAATACTTTTTTAAAAATTATTACAGTGATTTTTATCTTTGTTGGCCCAAAGAGATTTTTATTAGAAATAAGGAGCTTGTTCCTTATTTAAATATGCCACAGATGCTTCAGTTTGATGAAGGCATGGGAGGTATGCTGAGTGGTTTAGAAGGCAAACACATATTTCAGACAGGATCCCTCACTCCTCCAGATCTTACTGCACATCCTCCTCTCCTTGCTGACCTGTGAAGGTGTTTGCATCCCCTGGTAATTCAGATGGATCCTGTGGGTGGGGAGATGATATAGGAGTTCCTGGTGGGACAGAGTTTGATATCAAACTGTCCCAGAGCCCTGTGACAATTCTGCTGCTGGCACTCCCTGTGAGCTCCATTGTCCAACCTTGTTCCCCTGTGGGCTCACCCTGCAGGTTCCTGCTCCCACTTCACGCAGTGGGAGATGAAGGCTTTTCCTGCTGGCCCTGGGTGAGGAGCACTGTTGGCTGTGCAGGTATTTCCAGGTCCAGCTGCCTGCTTTCAGCAGCAGGTAACACATTTCCAGACAAAGCCCATCTGCTCTGCTCGGCTCCTGCTCTCCAGAGGCTTTGCCACCCCTTTCTCTTGGTGTCTGAAAATGTTTCAAGGTTTCAGGGCCTTTTTTTTTGGTTGGACACCTGGCCAGGGCATTTCTGTGAGGGGAAATAACTCTCAGGGTGATCATTCCTGACATTATCACCTGGTTGTTGCCTGTTTTTTACATCTGCTGCAAGACTGGGAATTCCTGAATGCATTTCTATGAGCACCAGGCCTTCAGACAGAGACCTGAGTTGGGAAGTGAGTGATTACCCAGGGCTACACTCAGATGTGCTTGGCAGATGTGATTTCCATCACTGTGGGTGTACTGAAGTCTTTTTTCCAAGCAGGAAAGCTGCACTAAGGTTTCCAAGGGCTGCAGCAAGTGGAGAGCTGACACTGTGGCAGGCACCTCTCCCTGCTGGCAAACACTTTGCAGAGCAACTTGTGTGGGATAATTTTCACTAAAATAGTTTCCAAGCTTCACAGATAAGTCTCTTTGGCTTACTTTTTGCCACCAGAGACAGTACTGGTCACTTCCTAACATCACCACTGAATGCTTTGCTGGTGCCAGGCTGTTTGATTAGATGAAATGGCCTTGTCAGCTATTCCAGGGTTCAACAAACTGAATGCTGAAACACCAGTTTGGGTGCAGCAGTTTCTGATCCAGAGCCACTGGCAGAGCTCAGGATCCAGGTTTTCCTTGCAAAGCCAGGTAACTTCCAGCTGTTGGATCAATGTGAAACTCTCCCAGTGAATGTTTCCTGAACCACAGGCTGGGACACTGCCGTGGGCATGAGGACAAAGTGGTGCCTTTTCCAAAGAGCTGGTTGGGTACCCTAATTCAGAACTGCCTTTTGGGAAGGCAGAAGGGAATAGGCTGGGCAGGAACAAGCAGTGCCTCAGTGTGCCTTGCCATATGTGTATAATCAGGACAAAAATGCCTGTTCTGGGATGCTGGCTGTAATTACCAAGAAATGAAGGCAATCCTGGATGATGGTAACACTAAAAGATGTTGCCTTAAAGGCACAGGGTCCACTTTCCTTACCACCCTGAAGTTGAGAGAGTTTGACACGGAGATGCTTTAGATTTGCAAATCATGGTGCTTAACATCCAGGCCTGTGACACACAGCATTAATTGTGATCACTCTGCGGATGCTTGAGGTTCTTAGCAGATGAGGATCTTCTTTTTTCTGTTCTGGGTAATAATTTGAATTCTCCCAATGGGCTCCAGGGCACTGTGGCATGAGGCTGGGAATGACAGTGTGATGCAGGAAGGGTTAACAGACTTATTTCTCTATATTCCACTTTTCTTTCACCAGTAGCTGAGCAGACCTTGATGGGACCCTGTGTTTAGTGTTTTCTGACAGCGCAGAAAGATCAGTGACTGCATGAAACACATTTAGTTTTCATTTGTGCTTTTTATGTGTCTCTTGTAATCAGGAGGCAATGCAAGCTCCAGCTTGTGGTTTATTGCTGTTGCTGTCTCCCCTTGAGCTGCCTGAGTAAAGCAGGTTGGATGGGAAGCAAAATGAGACCAGTTTAATAGCAGTAGCCAGACAGCCAGCCAGAAATAGCGGTGCTACAGGAGATGGAGTAAATAAAATCATCCTGTCAGACTCCATTGCAGTCCAGGTTTCCAAATGGGAAGATAAAAGAGACATTTCTGAGTCCTTTCAGTGGAAGAAGGTTTAGCTCCCATGTAGCTCTGTTGGAAACACTGAGGTGATCTTTGCACCAAAACAGCAGCCCTGCTTTTATTACAGGCTAAAGAGGGCCCGTGGGAGCAGCCAAAATTCTTGTTTGCAAACACACAGCAGCCCTGGGACAATTCTTGTTCCTTTAAAGTGGGTTTTCAACTTCATCAACACCTCCCAGCTCTTCTGTTTTTCTCCCAGTAACACAGATCTCCACATTTTGCCACATTTTGTGTCACCCCAGCCTGCAGCAGGTGGGGAAATGAGTCAGGCTGGGTTTCAGCAGCTCAGGAGCTCAGCAGCTCAGAGCCTGCTGCTGGAGCTGGGGTGATTCCTGGGGTGTCCTGCGTCAAGATTTGAGCTCTGAGGATCCTGGTGGGTCCCTTCCAACTCAGGACATTCCATGATTCTATGAGGTGAGCATGGAGGCACCCAAAGAGAGCACAGTGGCTTGGTCACAAAGTGTGACATGAAGTTTTTAGAGAGCAGTGTTTCCCCAGGCCTGCTGACAAACCCCTGTGCTCTTGTCCAGCTGCTGCAAGAGGTTTCTGTGGGACACAGGGCATGGAAGGGAATTTGGATGCATCACCAGTCCCTTGGCCAGCAGATAGCCAAGGAAGGCAAGTCCAGCAATTAAAACTGATTATGAAACAGCACTCCAGCTTTCAGGCAGGGGTACTCCAGGGAAGAAAACATTCCTGTGAATGGTCCCACAGCCTGGAATGTTGGGTG